GCACAGAGGTATCCACAACTATTTGGATCTTACATCCAACCCCTGGATTGATGCCCTTGATCAACTTTGCTACTTCCCTTGCCTTTGATGCTGGGTGCCACTTCATCTCCATGTTGCCCTTTACGATTGCAAGCTTGCACTGTGGCATCCAGTGCTTGTGAGCACAGGCCTTGGATCCTCTGTACAGAAGCATCTGGGCTTGATGCCTTGCCTTCCTTCGGTTTAATTTTGCTCTCTGCTTTGGGTGACAACCAAACAAGATTGCTCTGCTGGTGCGTTTTGAGGAACTGAGTTGGGAGAGTTGAGGGGGTATTGTCAATATAAATCCTTATGGAGGTCTTCCACAAGAAAATCTGGTGTTTTGAGATGCTCAGTAAGCTTGTTTTGCTGCTGCTTTTTTTCAGTGCTATCCTCCATTTTTAGCAGGGGTTTCCTCCCTCATGGGATGCATTGTTCTCAATCAATTTAAGGAGAAGGGAATGAGATCAATGTATTGTGTTAAAGCATGGAGAAATGCTTCTGACACAGTTCCTTCTGATAAACTGGAAAGAGAACAAATGTATCAAGGAGGGGTATTGCCAAGTTCTGAGTTCACATGATTAGTGGCCAAATTTAGTGAGCAGTTGGTCTGTTGAGGTGCAAAGTCTCCATTGTGGGACTGGAATGAGTTGAGTCTAACTAGTCATTACATGATAAAAAGATGGCCAGTTATCCACACACTGTGTAATTTAACCATATAACTATTTCAGTCTTGAACTGACAGTTTGGGCTGTAACTTTGACCACAATGGACGCATAACAACAAGAAGCACATGGTTAGAAAGAGAAATAAAAGAGCTTTCTAATGCTGTGGAGGAGTAGGGGGGCCAGAGAAGTATTAATTGATATACATGTAGGTATATCAAGCATTGCTACTAATGTACAACTGGGTTGTCTTTTTTTGCTTGGCCAAGCCTACAGTAAGATACAGAGGAAATTGTGTGACAAGCAAAGGCGCAACTGTGAATTGCAATGAGACTGCTGGAATGAATACAGTAAAGTTCAAAAATATGTGCTAGATGTATTTGTTAAGCTTTACCCAGATGCATGGAATTTTCTGGGCAAAGGAGTGATGTTGATCATTGACAGCGGCCCTGGACAAAACAAAGAAGATTTGCTAGTAGCACTTGCAGCTGGCGGGTTTCTGCTCCATCCTGGAGTGTCCAACAGTACTCATGTAACACAACCTATGGATTGCAATAATGGGTATTTCAAACACCAGAGTACTGAGAGAACCTCAAAAAGTGACCACCAACACAAGCAACATCACAATCTCCCACAGTCTGATTATCCACTGCTAAATTTAAGGCAAGCTGGATGGATGGAACAAGCATGTTGTTTTGGAGTAACCTCTTGTATATGTGGATGCAAGTGAAGAATATTTCTCCCCCTCCAGAGTCAGCTTGTTCTTGTAGTGATGCTAATAAATTTCTCCCCCTCCAGCAGAGTCAACTTGTTCTTTTAGTAGTGATGCTGATGAGTCCATATTGAAAGCACTGAAGGAAGATAGATTGCAATCAGGGACACAGCATTCAGAAAGGCAAGAGCTAGATAGTTTCTCTTTCCTTCCTTGCAGGTATGACTGAAGAGGAAGGATTGTCTGCTTACAATCTTCATTTGGTGGTCATACAGGGTCTCAACGCAGCTGTTGGTGAACCAGTTGGTCCAGTTGCTCAAGCATAGTCCCCAGCAGTAGGTAGTCCCAGTAGCCTAGTAGTGAGGCAAGCGCAAGTAGGAAGCTTTTTATTGTATAGAAATCTATTCTTGGAATTGATTCCAATTTTGGTTTTATTCCACCTTATAAGTAGTGCTGGCTAATTCAAATTCCCAAAAAGTGAGCCAAAAAAAGGCTCCAAAGTGCTCCAAAATAGATGATATTTTGATATAAATTACTAGTTTCTTCTGGGTTCTATGTGAAACTAAATGATAGCCTTTTTTTGTCTAAAATAGTGCTGCTACTGGCCTCGTCATAGGCCTCTGTAGATTTCCAACCAGTTTTGGACCTGTCACGCACTATTTTTGACACAAACTTGTAGTACCCTGCTACTGTTTCAAGATCACTTGTTATGATATTCCTAGTAGTAGTAGTAGTAGTAGTAGTAGTAGTAGTAGTAGTAGTATTAGTAGCTACTTACGTGAGGAACGTTTTGTTCAAGCACACGAAGTTTCCAGTAAATGATTTCGTCGTGGAAAACATAGTKAAAAAGCAGGTAAAGGAAAGTACAGGTGGGGAAAATCCACCAGAGGGCCTAGTAATGTCTGCCGGTTGGTGGGCGGGGACAATCAACGGGGCAGTAACTGCGTGCAGACATAACGCTCAGACACTGGCTAGAAAAAATTACAAGGGTAAGAACAGAGGCAGTGCATGGAAAACACTGCTAAGATAAAATCAATCTAACCATGTCCTTCCATCCTTCCGTCATTCAAATGTTCAGACGATAAAAAAAAGGTGTCGTTCCCCCTACATTCACAGGAAAATGTTTCATAACGGAAAGCGAAGATGACTCGTCGTTCGTGTTGAACCAAGAATACAGGAGAAAAAACACACCGGAGTTCAAATATTTCATGAGACGGGTATTGGGAGCAGTATCACCAAAACAAAACGACTTTAAGAGAAAGAAACACAAGAACACAATTAGTGAAATATTTAGCGCTACAGACGAGGCTTTCGCACTCTTGTTCTTGTTCAACGACTACGAGTCTTGGAACAATTCCGGAAACGGAAAGAAGACGCGAAAACAATTCACGGACAGTAGGGTAGGAAGCAAGGAAGGCTGGAGCTTGGAGGGACGGATGTTGTTCATAAAGCTTGTGAGAGAGATAACAAAAAGAAGGGCAGAAGAAAGTTCAAGAACAATTGAAAYGGCGTTAATGGCGCACTACAGAGAATCGGTAGGTGAAGACAGAGAGGAAAGAGAGAGAAAGAAAAGAAAACTGCAGGAAGAGGAATTGAAGTTCGATGTCACAGAAGTATGGGACGCGAGTATCTTTAAAGATGCGGAAGAATTATTGGGCCAACCAGTATAAATTCGAAAATCATTAAAATAATATATCACAACAAAATACAAACAAACAATAGACATATAAAAATACAAATGGGATACGGCGAAAATTGGTTCTACAACGAAAATTGTTGAACGTCAAACAAAAATATAAAAAGCAGAAATAAGATAAGACAAACCTTCGAACAGAGTATAAAAGAGAACAATAGTTTCGGTTGTTAGTAAAAGAATGTTGGTGAAACCAAAAGAAAAACCAATACAGTGGCTTCAATTTTGAAAGAAAATATAAGAAAAATGTCGAAATGATGATATTTTAG